CAGCAGACATTACTCAGACAGCTTGCTGAGCTCTTAAAGTGATATACACATAGTTACAATAGTCCATTTTCAACACAGTGACCTCGTCCCCAGAGATTGGAGAGCCCAACCCAAAGTTCCCAGGCTCAGCTTCCTCAATAGAAGGCATGTTGGTGGGATTGAGGAGGTCTTCAAAGTATTCCGCCCACCGGCACACAACGTCACGAGTTGAGGTAAGCAGCACACCATCCACACCATAAACAGTGTTGGTGCTGCACTGCTTCCCCCCCCTGAGAYGCCGGATGGTGGACCAGAATMGCCTTGAAGAGGGCGGCTTGCCTATTAAATACCTTCTGCATGCTGATGAAAGTTGTGGTACTTCCGAATGGGGAGGGAAGATTATGGCTACTTGGTAAATGGCTTGGACCTAGCATTATCAACATAATAACATTCTGCTCCGCTACCACTCTCATCCTCCCTTTGACAGCTACTGGCATTAGTAATAATAACGATAGTGTGCCTTCCTTCCCTGCCCTCCTAAGGCCARTAATGTAGGACTCTTGCAGGCTGTGCATCAGGTTGGGTAGTGCTGGGCTACATCTGTGGTAAAAGTAAGGGAGTAAGCTCCACATTTTGTTTGGGCTTCTGTAATTCTATTCTAGTCATATGAAGTGGTGTCTTTGCTGATGCAGTTTTTCCTAGCATGGCGGTCTCACACTGGTAATTTCCAGGACTCTACAGATTCCAAAGCTCCCTAGGAAAGGTTTACCCATGAAGCCAGTGTGGCCTGGCCTGCAGACATGTCAAGTTGTACGGGTTGACGTTAATGCCTGACCTGCTTCAAATTCTTTAACGGCCAAGCCACGGCATGAATCCTAGACCCACAACATAGATACACTGTCACCACAATATTAAACTACCCTCTGCATGCTCAGAAACACCCACCTTCTAGCATGGGAAACTTACTGCCTTCGAATCACACTCCTGAATACCTTGCCAAGACCCTACAAAGACCATCAACCATCTTATGCAAAACAGGGTCATCATCTAGTGTAAAAGCTGTCCAATCAGTAAAACAGTCTTCTTTCTTTTTCAGCCCAATCCGTCATCAGACAGTTTGCCTTCGACATCCAACACTCGCTCAGACCAGACCAGGCCGGGTCAGAACTGCAGTGAATACCACTCATCCAGCATGGTGTCAGGAGCCATGCCATATGGACATCAGTCGTACCACGATGCACCAGTTTCTGTCTCATTCACTAATACTGCTGATCAACTGGCCTCTGCCAGTATTCCTTTCCTGCACCCGTTGCCTTGCCACAAGTTTGGTTTCTACACAACGACCAGTGTGACCTCCACTGTCATCACTCACACCGCCTCCACCATGGGTGCTCACAGTTCCATGTACCAGACTCACAGCTGCCCTCAAGCAGAGGAAGCATACTCTCAGACTCACTGCCATTCACTCAGTTACCCAGCCGCCACATCGGACCCGGTCCACACTGCTCTCCCTCCTGTCACAGCAGCTCACTGCCTCGCTGTTCCAGAGCAGGTGGTCCTTCCAGGGGTCAGGGGGAAGCACAAGCAAAAGACAGGAGRAGTGAAGACAGTTGGCCCCTCTGCCTTGCCATCCGACCCCCAGTCCACTGCCTCCATGCCCACAAGCTGCCTGGCAATGCTGCTTTCCTCTGGCACACATGAACGTGAGCTAGTTCTAACGAGTTCAAATCCTACAACAGGTAACGGCATGACGAATCAAATGAACACATTCTTTTCTTCCAGGAAAGCCAACCCTTGGATTTAATAATACTGCTCTAAGGACAACCAAAGGTCAGAGGTCAACATCTACCAGCTCTGTGGTAAGATTCCAATTACCTCAAGCATCTACCTGTAGATCCCAAAGAGCTTATGACAGAGAATCATGTGATTTCTGTTTGTTTCTCTGTTGCATGTTGTTTGGTTCTAATTAGAAGTTGGGTCGGGACGTTGTGGGTCGGTGGGAAGAATATTTTGAAGACCTCCTCAATCCCACCAGCATGTCTTCCAGTGTGGAAGCAGAACTTGAGGACCCTGGATTGGACTCTCCAATCTCTGGTGCCGAGGTCACTGAGGTGGTTAAAAAGCTCCTCAGTGTCAGGGCACCTGGGGTGGATGAGATTCGCCTGGAGTTCCTTAACTCTGGATGTTGTGGGGTGGTGTTGGTTGGTTGACACAACTCTACAATATCGCATGGACATTGAGGGCAGTTCCCCTGGATTGGCAGACCGGGGTGGTGGTCCCCCCTATTTAAAAAGGAGTACCACAGAGTGTGTTCCAACTATAGGGAGATCACACTGCTAAGCCTCCCTGGTAAGGTCTATTCAGGGATCCTGGAGAGGAGGGTCCATCAGATAGTCAAATCTCGGATTCAGGAAGAGCAGTGTGGTTTTGGTCCTGTTCATGGAAYAGTGGACCAGCTCTACACCCTCAGCAGGGTCCTGGAGGGTGTATGGGCATTCAACCAGTCTACCTTGGAGAAGGCGTTCGACCGTGTCTCTTGGGGACTCTTGTGGGGGGTATTCTGGGAGTATGGGGTATCAGGCCCATTGATGCGGGCTGTTAGGTCCCTGTTTGACTTGTGCCAGAGCTTGGTCCACATTGCTGGTGGTAAGTCGGACTCGTTTCCGGTGAGAGTTGGACTCCACCAAGGTTGCCCTTTGTCACAGATTCTGTTTATAACTTTTATGGTCAGAATTTATAGGCACAGCCAAGGTGTTGAGGGGATCCTTTCTGGTGACCTTAGGATCGCATCTCTGCTTTTTGCGAATGATGTGGTCCTGTTGGCTTCATCAGATCCTGATCTCCAGCTCTCACTGGAGGGGTTCGCAGCCAAGTGTGAAGAGGCTGGGGTGAGAATCAGTGCCTCCAAATCCAAGACCATGGTCTTGAGCCAGAAACCAGTAGGGTGCCTTCTCCGGGTTGGGGAGGAGGTCCTGCCCCAAATGGAGGAGTTTAAGTATCTTGGGCTCTTGTTCACGGGTGAGGGAAGAATGGAGCCAGTTGAGATGGTTCATCCGGTTAGGATGCCTCCTGGACGCCTCCCTGGTGAAGTTGTGCATTGTGTAATGCTTAATGTAGCGGTTGGTGATTATTCTCAGCTACTACCACACTACCTTTTAGTTCAGTATTTTCAAAATTGACTTAATTAAAGTTGAGTACTGTATGTTTTTAATTTTGGTTGGCCATGATTTGCTTTGAATTTTAATCAGCTGTATATCCAATAACATCTTTTTGAAAATTTCATTAAAATATGTGAAGTGGCTTGTGAGATATTTTGCTAACAGTCTTCACTATTTCTAGCCTTTCACTTTTTGTTGTTGGCAACAAAAATAAAACATGGTCTCTTCACAGTAGTGCTGCTCTGATCGACTCTTGCTGCATCCATTTCTTTTGCTGTATTTGTGTAAAGAGGCTGTTGTATTCTGTTCAGCAGACGAGCAGGATCACTCCTGTTGGTGGGGTTTCCTCACAGCTGCAGCACGGAGCCGGATGGCACGCGGGGTCAACGTCTCCGCACGGACACAGCGCCACGCTGGGCCACAGCAGACCCCATGCCAGCACCTCGAGGGGCTCGGCCGTCTCTGCCCTTCTCACCCACCACTCCACAAACACCACTACGACCCTCCGTGTTCCCAAAACGGAGAAACTCTCACCCAGTCAGCTGCATGACACAGACAGGGGCAGCACGACCGGTCAGATAAAACATACCTGAATGGCACCAAAAAACTCAGATATTGTCAGAAAATGGAACTGACTCTTTGTTTTTGTCTTTTTAGTTCATTTTTCTGTGCATCCTGGTCACATATCTCCACCTAACCCTATAGACAAAGCCTCCAACCCCGAGTCCCTGCAGTTGGGCTTCTCAGGACATGGAAAGATAGAATCCAGTAAGGTAGGAGGTGTTGTCGAGTTTCATTTACAGGCATGGCTTTTTAAAGAATACGTGAAATGCTTAGATGATGTCAGTTTGCGGCAGACTCTGTGTCCGTATTTTGTTGTCTACAGCAAACGGAGACCAGGAGGATTACTCACATCTCGGCCGAGCAGAAGAGGCGGTTCAACATCAAACTGGGATTCGATACTTTATGTAACCTTGTGACTACGCTCAGCTCCCAGCCGAGCATAAAGGTAGAGTGAACAGATGGGCAGCTGCGGTCCAGATAAAAGTGCTGAAAGGTGGAGACGGCCGGCATCAAAGAGGAGAGTCACTGCGGGGCGTCTGCCGGGAAACTGAGCTACGCACAAATCATTTAAAACATTTTTTTTGTAGGGAGTGTAACTGTAGCACTAATGACAGGTGATGAATAAATAAGGTGTGAGTTTGACAAGTTATAATCCCTCTGTGTGCCGGGGCAGATCAGTAAAGCCACTACTCTGCAGAAGACTGCGGAGTACATCAGTAAGATGCAGCAGGAGAGAGCTCAGCTGCACGAGGAGGTTCAGAGGCTCCGAGAGGAGATCCAGCACCTCARCTCTGCCATCAAGTAAGACTTTTCCTGATGCTGCTGTCATGTAGAGCTGAAACTGAAGGGATGTGATTATCTATGGTTTTGATCACAGTGACCAGTCAGAATATTTACTAATGCTGCACAAACTTCATCTATAGATGTCTGTTTAAAGGGGACATATCATGCAAAATCCACAGTTTTAGCTGTTAGATACATTTTGTTTTGGACTTACGGTTTCTAGGAGGCAGAAAAGCTGAATTTAGTCTCCTACCTTTGTACCCTTTCAAGCTGTTCATTGGACTTGAGCTGCTTGAGTTTCAAATTAAAAAACAGGAAAAATGAGGGTGTTCTAAATGTGAAAGTTTTCAGAGTTTGTTCTTTCAGCCTCATATCTCAGTGTTCATCCTTTAACATGTATCAGGATGATAAGAAGACGTTGACATAAATACATTCAGGTTTTAGACTGTTTTTTCCCTTCTATTAAGTGTCTTGTTTACCTGAACATATGGTCCCCGTCCTTCCTTTGACACAAAGATCCGCTCGTCGTCTTGCTTGACGCTGTGTCTCTTCATGCAGTGCTTGTCAGCAGCAGCTTCCTGCCACCGGTGTTCCCATCACACGGCAGCGCTTCGACTACATGAGACAGAAGTTCAGAGAGTACGTCTGCGCTCAGACGCTGCAGAACTGGAAGTTCTGGATTGTATCCTTATGAAAAACGATATGAGGTTCAGAAGAAATGAATAAGAGTAACTATGATTATGGGTTTAAATTAACGGGTCAGTGTTTCTTCTGGTCATTGGATTTTCAATTTAGAAACAGGTATTAAAATACAAAAAACGAGTGGCTATTTGATTTTTGTTTTAAAATACTGAAATTAAAATACAAAGCGTTTCTCATTCTTAGTGTCAAAAAGGGATGAACGATATTTTTAAAAAGACTTCAGTTTCATTTTCTGTTTCAGATAGCAAAAAAGAAAATAACTTTAAAACAGAAACAAAAAAGGCTTGTTTGTTGTTTTACGGCTATCTATTCCCCCACCAGAAGGGGGCGCTCGCCTGGCAGCTCTGCATTATAAAACACAAATTTCTGTGAATAAAAGGCTGAAACACAGATATGTATGTCCATAAAAGAGTTGTATGATGACTGTCGCTCTGTGACCAAAGGCTTTTCAGAGATACTTTGTGTGCCTTTTGGCCACATAAATCTCTTTTACTGAACACGTCAGCTACTGCCTCCACTTCACCTCCATTTCTCTCAATAAAAAGCAAATTACAACTTTCATGCTGTTCGTGCATTGTACAGTTGTTCTGTAAGACGAAATTTTTTCCCCCCTCATGAGTTTTGACAAAATCTTTGCTTTTTTCCGTCAGTTTGCGTCCTCGGAGTGTTCCTTTAAGCAAAGGGTGGGCGGTACTACAACTTTGATGTCGATCTGATACCAAATAAATACTTGGCAAATATATTTGATACCGAAGTCAACATCAATGCTTTTTACTTGTAATGGGATGTTTATTGAGTAACTTTGATATTGCAAGCGCCCCTTCTGGTGGTGAAACATTATTGTAGGGATACAGTAAGTTGGCACGACCTGTCATGGAATATGAACAAACAAAGCTTTTTTTTCATTTCTGTTTTAAAGTAATTTTCTTWTTTTGCTATCTGGAACAGAAAATGAAATGCAAGTCATTTAAAAAATTTCATTTATCTCTTTTTAATATAGGCACCTTTACATGTGGGTCGTCTTTTCATGGAGCTGAACTGATGAACAGAAAGTTTGACACAATTGAATGTCTCATTTAAAGTGTTCAACTGGTTTTTCCTGAACTCTGTGTCAGTTCAGCATCATCATCGAACCTTTGTTTGAGTCTTATAATGGGATGGTCTCCACTGCCAGTGTGGAGGAGCTGTGTCGGTCCACCCTGTCCTGGTTGGACCAGCACTGTGCCCTGCCTGTCCTCAGACCCAGTGAGTCTGTCGCATCACGTGTCAGCAGCTGCTGTCCATCCAGGTGTTCTGATCTGTGTTTTCTCTCCTTTCCTGTCTTCCTCAGTGGTTCTGAGTTCACTCCGCCTCCTGAGTACCAGCACCGCCATCCTGACCGACCCGAGCCTGCTGCCGGAGCAGGCCGCTCTCGCCGTCACACAGGGCGACTCCCCTGCTGCCACCGACCACTCCTTACAGCCCGTCCCTCGGCAGTAGGCCACACCCCTTCATGGACCTCTATGGAATAACACAGCAAATAAAAAGAGGACCTGCGAACTTTAAAGCTCAACTACATGACTGTTAATAACATTTCTGATAAAACTCATCAAGCAACAATAAGAAGCATCTCAGCTCACTTAAGAATGATTCAAACTAAATGTGACCAAAACTTCTGATCCTCTGCAAAGCTTTACAGGACATGTAAGATAATGGACACTGATTTCTAAACCTCAGCTGAAGATGTTAATCACATGCAATATGTAATGCTTTTATTTATTTTATGTGTTCTTTAAAAAAAGCCTAAAGACAGTTTATTATTTAGACATTCCAGGCTACTTTTTGCATCTATAACCTGTTCAGTTAACATGTAAAGTTAGCGCCTTACATCTTATTCATGTTGTTCTGTGCTCAGCTGGTACAACATGTCAGTGTAAGGATAAAAATAATAAAGCAGCACACTGATTAAAGGCAGTTTGTGGAGTTTAGCAGCTTTTTGTTCTTTTGGATTTGTTTCCTGGTTTAAAAATGGATCTCAAAGCAAAACGTCTAGCTTTGGTGCAGCCAGAGATCCCATTTTATTTATTTCACATATGAAAAAAATTGATCGGAAAGTATCAAACATTAATTTGTGTACAGATGTTACTATAATAAACAACACTAAAACTGGTGTAGCTGCAAACACAAGAAAAAAAACACAAACAGGACACGAAAGCACCACACCTGAAGACGTGAGGACTGAGAGGATAACTCGTCTGGTGCTGATGAGGCAAGAGGGGACCGGTGAGACCGGTGACACCTGGATCAGGTGTGATGGAGTGGTGACATGGAAATAATAACCAGACCTCAAAACACAAGAAAAAGCTCAGCAGATATTCACAATAGATAAACTCACTAAAAACTAACCCTGACTCTCTGTTACGTTATTCTGTAAAACACAGGAAATTAAAAATGGAAGAGATTCTTTAAATTTGGAAACTTCTCTAATAAACATAGTTCAACTCTTACTCTCTATGCCATACATCAAAACATATCAAGAATGTAATGAAGAGAATGAGTAGATTTGTGGAAAATCTAAATAATTAGCAGAAGTGGATTCATTTATACTAACAAAATCCTGTTGTAACCAGGTTTCTGTAAGACAGACTAAATCAATATGGTGATCAGTTATCAGATCATTAACTAACAGAGACTTAGAGGAAAAAGATCTGATGTTCAACTATCAATATATTTTTTGGTTTTGTTCGGTTAAAATTAAAACTTTGGTTTCTTGCAGCTTTAGAGCAAATACACATTTTACATCAGTTTTCCTTGTTAAATCTCCATTGTTGTATTCTTCCACAACAAACATCTGTCACTTATCCAACAACAATTTATTTTTAGCTTTAAATAGAACTTTTAGTTTTTTTTAAATCAGCTAGATGTTTAAATTTCATATCTTAGACTTACAGTTTTATRCAAATTATGTGAGATTTTATATTATTTTGTGGACACTTTACAGATTAAATTCATACATAAAAATATTTTAAATGTCAAGGATCCTTCCTGGTTAAATCAAATAAAACAAACCCGTTTTGCTTTCACATATGATTTTTTAATTATATGTTTTCCCTGTTAGACAAACAGGAGAAACTGCTCAATGTCACCTTTGTGTTGTAGTACCTCCTCCGGACCTGTGAGAGGCGCTGTAACATCTTGATGTTGTAGTACCTCCTCCGGCCGGAGAGGAGGCGCTGTGACGCAGGCCGCCTCCAGCAGCGCCGTGTCGCGCTTTTTGTTCCCACAACTCCTCGCTCGGGGAGCTGTCCGCTTCAGCACCACAATCCGAGCGGAGGCAGCGAGGCACGGCTCACCATCAGCACCAGCGCCCGTCCTCACTCCTACTGAATCTACCGAAAAATACGCGGCAGGGACACCGCCCGCAGCGACACGAAGGACCGCAGGAAAAGGTAAGAGTTTCCGAAGACGCTCAAATCGGATCAAGTTGGTAATAATAACACGGGCTTCCTTTCCTTCCTGGTTCATAAATAGTGGATCGCGCTGCAAAGGCGGTGTTTACGTTCCTATTGTGCCACATTTATTCATCTCATGGAGACTAAACGAGGCTTTGTGGCGGTGAAAGGACCGTGTTTGAGCCAGGGAGCAGTGAAGGATCTCGGGTTTTTGGTTTCTGTCCGTCAGCTCAGGGTGCACTGCTGCCTGGCTTTATTCCTCTGACTTAGCTGCGGGACATTTAATATCTCCGCAGCATTGTGTGTCCGTGTGTGTTTTTCAGATGCGTGTTGTCTTGTTAAACCAGCTTCACTTAATATTAGTCTGTGGAAACAACCCGGGTTTAAATTCTGCCACTTTATACTCATTTAAAACATGTTTATCTTGCTGTGTTTTAATAAATATATGAGTTAATCCTCAATGTACTGAGGGTGGACAGTTTTATGTGTCAGATATGAATGTTTAAAGGTTGTGACATCGTTGAAGTAAAATTTTTTTTATATTTAGTGAGAGACTTTGTGTTTGTTCTGATTTGACCTGTTATTTAATGTATTTTGGCTCCATTATTTTGGCTAAATAAATGTTGGATTTATATCTGAGGCAGCTGGAGAGGTTCACTTGTTTTTATCTTAGTTTTATACTCCTTTAACTCCATCTATAAATGCTTGTAAATATTTAATGAAGCCCAATAAAACAGCAGACTGGAAAATCTTTAAAAATTGAAAAATGTTAAAGTGACAAATAGGTTTTTTTTATCCAGAGGTAATTTAACTTGTTTGCTTGTCGTTTTTAATGTGAAACTTATTTGTAAAACAGTTACAAACCTTATAATAATAATAATAATAATAATAATAATAATAATAATAATAATTTCAGTAAGAAAAAAAAGTTTTTGAATTTAATGTAATGAAACGCCCTGGAAATCTTTCAGCAAACAGCAAAAAATGTTGTGACTTTGTCCCTTATCTATAAAGTATTAATATCAGAACATGATTTTTTTCTTGCTTATAATAATAAATCCAAAATAAGTTTCATAGATTAGTAGTTTTGGGTCAGATATGTCAAAGTATTGTTTGAAAATATTAATGTGAACAGAATTTTAATGACAATACAAGTTTAGCTGGTTCATTTTAAAATTCAACCAGATTTCAGCTCACTGGTTCACTCTGGGCTTGGAAAAATATGACATTTTGATTTTTGTCTAAACATACAATGTATCAATAGATATTAATATACAAAAAAGGGAATTTTCCACAGATAATAACACCAGATGAACCTGCACCCATCTTATCTCTTCCTTCCTTCATGTTCATGTTTTTTGTCTGTATTTGAGAGTTATTCTTGGTATCTGTTATTGCTTTTATTGTGCTGGGACCGGTTTCTTTCTACCATGTGCAAATGTGAATTAGGTTCATCTTAACATTATCTTAGTTTTTGTTTCCCTCATGCTTTAATGTTAACGTTCATGCTAACCACAGTTTCCTCCAGTTCTCTTCTGATCTGCTCAGCTTCCTCATTTTCATCACGATCCTTGTCGTCTTCTTCCACAGCTCGAGAATTCAACATTCTCTAAATAAATAAATAAATAAATAAATAAATAAATAAATAAATAAATAAATAAATAAATAAATACAGTATGTCATTATTGTCCCAGAGGTTTAACAGCAAAATGAAAGTTTTAGTTTTTTTTTTGACACAAATCCACCCATGTCTGCTTGCTGAATCAACCCGTCAAAATAAAAGCCATAACACGTGACTGTTTAGTGCAGCGACTTATGGTTTAGTGGTTCAGTCCCTGGATAACGTGTTGATTTATTTTCCTCCATCGCAGGACCTGCGCTGTGATTATTGTGCACAGGTACATTGCGATGATGGTGATGCTCAAACGATATATCACGTAGCTCTAATCGGATTAAAACATCTCTCAGTTAACTGGATAACATCAGGTTAAATCAGATTTCAATTAACTGGTTAACTTCAGGTTCAAACACAATTAACCAGATTTGAATTATCAGGTTTGGTCTAGATTTAAACCAGACTTTAGTTAGCTGCTCAAGTTTAAGCTTACTTGATTACCTCAAGGTTTAAACCAGATCTTCTGTTACCTGATTAATTTCAGGTTTAAACCCGCTTTGATTACAGATTTATTTTAATTTAAACCAGATATCTGTCAACTTCTGGTTTTGACCAGATTTCTGTTAACTGGTTAACTTTAGTTTTGGGTTTAAAACACTCTGGGTTTAAAAGAAACCTCATGAAACTGGATAAGATCAGATTAAATCAGATTTTAGTTAATTAAATTCAGATGTAAACCAAACGTTTCTTAGCTGGTTATCTTTACATATTAACCAGATTTCAGTTAGCTGGTCAGGTTCAAGTTTAACCTGAGGTTTACTTCAAAACCTCCAGGTTTAAACCTCAGTTAACCAGTTAACTTCAGGCTCAATCCAGACATTTGAGTTACTTGATTACCCTCAAGTTTAACTTAGATTTTACTTAGCTGGTTAATGTCACATTTTAACCAGATTTCAGTTAACAGCTTTGGATTGAACCTGGGTTTTAGTTAAGTGATAATTTACAGTTTTAAACCAAACTTCAGTTGCTCAAGTTCAGATCTAAACTAAAGTTTGTTCAGGGTTTCCCCACAGAAAACTAGCGGTAGGCGGAGCGGTGTCGTTTTTAATGTTGGGGTGGGGGAGTGAGTGGTAGCGGAGCGCTAAGTTGATAATGCTAGGCTAGCTTCTGACACAATCTCTACTGGCGCTGGATCTAAAATAACAACGATACACTGATGATATGATACACTGGGGAAAACGCTGCGATCACCTCCAGGTTTGAACCAGATTTCAAATATCTGATTAACTGTGGGTTTTAGCAGACCTCTGACTTCAGACTATCTGTAATGTGAATCTAAGCTTTAGGTTCTGTGAAGCTCAGGTTTTGAAAAACAGTGGACCTAATAAAGTGTTTCAGATGAATTCACGTGCAAACAAACACAATAAAACGGCATCAGCCAGCCTAACTACCAGTGGCTCATGTTGCTATAGATGATATTGTAGTATGCAGCTGCATGCACATTCACAAACCTCTTTGTTCACATACTGAATACAGTAATTGCTTTCTCGCTATGAATCAGTAATCAGAGCCGAGTTTGTGGCGCCGCTCAGCAGAAAAGGAAAAGTCAGCAGGAGCTGTGTCAGTAGGCGGGCCCGACCTGAGCTGCTCAGGCCGGGCTGAAGTATGGAGCATATCTTTAAACGCAGTCTTCCATTTTGTCACAGTGCTTCCATTGGCGAGATAGGCCCAGGTGAGGTAAGAGGCTGATAGAGGGATTAGCCTGCATTAGGATGTGGCTGCTCGTGGAGGAGCGAGAGGAATGCCAGCCACTCGCACTTTGTCTCCTGCTGCCGTCTGCATCTCAGCCGCTCCTTGTCCTCCAAGCATCTGCCTCACGCCTGCTTTATGTTCACATTGTTCCTAGATGAGCAGTGATATATTTACCCCCCCCCCCAACCCCCAGCAGCCCAGCCCTCTGCAGCAGTGATTCTCCAGGCTGTCCCTCCTCGCCACATGCAGCCACTGTCAGTGCACACGGCTCCTCCTACTGTCCTAATTCCTCTCATTTCAGTGCTGTTGAAAAGGCGAAGCCCTGAGCATGGGAGGGGGCACAGAGTGTGGGGGGTGGGGGACACTGAAGGGACAGCAGAGGGAGGATGCAAAGGCAGCTGTTGAGTGTTCACACTGAACTCTAAAACCTTATCTCACAGATTGGACTGATGACGATGGGTTTTCAGGGAAAAAAAACTGCTGTATTACAGCACAGCAGGCGTGTCTCTGCTTATTCAAAGAGAGCTGTCTGAGTTGGAGCTTAATGAAGGAAGCAAATCAACATGAAAAATGACTTCCTGTGACCCTGTGGCTCAGCTGGTTGGTTCTGTCGAGTCAGTTTGGGGTCAAATCTGCAAATTTCAGATTTTATTCTGATCACATTTTAAAATCCTCACATTAATGTGCTTCTTTCTTACAAGAGAAAAAATCTACAAGCTCAGCAAAAATAAAACATGTTTTCTTTGTCATTTCTGGTTTTTCTTGAGTGAAACATTGAACTAAACCATAAATGAACTTGTGCTAAATCTTGGCTCTAACTCTAACTCTTTATCCTTTTACACAAGGATTTGGGAGTTGTAACTCTGAATGCCCTTCCTGACAACCACAGACCACCAAACTGCCTCAGCCCACATGTAGAGCAGGGGGCTACTAGGGCACTTAGGGGAGCAGATGGGGGCTTCTAATTTGCAAAGTGGGGCAAATGAGGATAGAAGCAGGTGTTGGTGCTTCACCTTTCCCACCCACATTTTGTTGTATTGGTCAGGGGATTCAAACCGACAACCTTTTGATTACAGGCTCACCTTCTCTGGTGCAAACAAATGGAAATGTGGGTGTGTTCACTCTGCACTGGGTGAAAGAAGACAAAAACGCCGTAGTGTTTGTTTTTGAATCACGGTGTATAAGAAATGTCATGTTTAAGTAGAGGTTCTTTACTCATTGTCGTACAGGTGGAACTTTTTGCAGATTTTTGACAATTTTGTTTATAAAGGATGTATCAAAAGTCACACTGTTTTCTTATTGAAGCCACAAGAGGAGTAACAAATCAAAAAATTGTGACGAATAATGGACTGATAGTAAAAAGGTGCACTGGTAGCCAGAACTACCTGACATAAAACCTGAGGAAAATCATAGATCAAAATATTTCCACTGCTGTGATGATAAAACCATTGTTCTGCAGGGTCTTAAACCTCCACGCTCTGGTTTGGACTGTGTGCAGAACAGAAGCAGACCTCCCCCCTGCTCTTCCCATGATAAATCTGATCCATTTTTATCCTCTGTCTAAGTGTGCATATGAACACTCTCTGCTACTGCCTGATTCTCAGTGGAGTTTGTGTTTGATACTTTTATC